AAGTAAAGCTACAACAGAAGCACAACCTGAATAAAGTCCTATACCGCACTTGTTTCATTGGCAATACTTCGTGGTATATGAAAATCTGGTGCTGCGAAGGAGAGTTTCCACCTTGTTTTATAGTCATCATATCAACATCCATTTATTCCATATAGAGATTATATTCAGAAGAAAACAGAACACTTTTGCGCCAATAGTTCTATCAAAAAGGGAGCATTTCATTAACCACATAAAAAATATATCTCGGACATTAAATCTGGTGACTGTTAAAAGGTACAAAATTTCTTCTAGTATTACATGAAAGACATTACCACCACCAAACTTCCTAGAGATCCCCCTATAATTGCTCAAAACCAAACCCTCCTTAGATCATCTATAAATTAATAAGAGCTACAATGCAGAAACATCGAACACCACTACTCATCTCCAACAACCCATCAAATGCTCAAGAATTATACCCCCTTCAATCATCATAAAATAACAAACATCCAGAAAAATGCAGGAACATCGATCACCAGAGATTACCACCACCAAATTTTCAAATGATCCACAAACCCATTGATTGCAGAAAAGTAAAAGCTTCTTTAATCAACTATCAAGTAACAATAGCCACAACAATGCAGAAAAATGAGTTACCACTACTCATCTCCTCCAATTTCCCTCCTCCTTTCTTCTTCTTCTTCTTCAAGCCACTCTGCTCAGCTAAACCAACAATCTCCATCTCATCAACCTCCCGGGTCTTTCCTCTTCTTCCTGTTTTCCTCCTCTACTTCAAAAACTACCCACAACTGCATCATCATAATCATCCTTTTTCTTTTTTTCTTATCTCTGTTCCCGGCATTGCCCTCCCCATTTCACCTCTACCGTCTTCAACTTCATATGAATTCTGCTCATTCTCGATTCGGTTTTTCTCTTTCTTGTGTCTGCGACTATGCTTCACATTTTCTAGTCTTTCTTCTTCAGCTTCATCTGGGTTTTTCCCGATCCTTACCGCATTCTCATATTTTCTTGTGTTTGCCACTACTTTCCAAATTTCTGACCCTATCTTCTTCAACTCATATGGGTTCTTTGCTCAACGTTTATCGGGTTTTCGTTTTCCCTGCGTTTCCCTCTATAGCCACTTTTGGACACTCTCTTCTGCAGCTTCTTGTGAATTTTGCTCAACCTTTTCGAGGTTTCATCGCTTATATTGCTATGCCGATGCTTCTTGTGCTTGCGATCGGATTGCTTAGCTTTAAGTTCTTTGTGGAACTGAACCAAGTCATTGAATGAGGCCGAAGCGCGTCTGAGATATACAGACACGGCATGAGGAGCTCCATTGTCGAAGGAACGAAATTGGACAAAATTTTCGCTGCTTTAGAGAGAGAGACTGGCTTCGTAGATTCGACTTTGCCCGAAACAGTCTTCATGATAGATTGATAAAGCTTTTAAAAGGGTTTTGTTCTGGGTTTGTATGGGCGAGTTGGGATAGGAAGGTGGAGGAGACACAGAAACCTAGGGAGAGAAAGTGGGGTTTTGAAGGAGGACCGAGAAAAAGGGATCTGAGATAAAGCCCCTTTTTTTCATTGCTGCTACAAGTGTTGTACAAGTGAGGCCCAAACGCAACTAAAGCAGGGCCATAGGCCCAACTGTAACTAAATCAAGCCTTTAAGCCCAATTAAAAAAAGAGGCCTCAAGTTTGTCGGTGTAATATAGGGACAATGGGGGTGGGTACATTTTAAAAACTTAGTTGAGAGAAACTTTCTCACCGTTACTCTCTCACTTTTTCTCTCACCGTTACTCTCTCCCTATTTTTTCTCTTTCTCTCTCCCACTCCATCTATTTTCTCTTTCAAACTCTTTCTCTCTCCCATGCATATTTAAGGCGTTTCTCTCTCTCAATCTGAATTCGGCATTCTTAAACGTCGTTGTATTGATACTCTAAAAGATATACACCAAAAAGATAAACCAAAAAGATACACCAAAGAGTTATACCGGCGTGTCACACCAAAGAAAGAGTTATACCACCTATTCACCATCTAGTGACATCCAAAAAATATAACAACGAGATACAACGAAGAGTTTTACTATCTAGTAACACCAACGACATACACTAAAGAAATAGAACAAAGCGCTACACCATACAGGGACACCAAAGGGTAAAACCATACAGTTGCACCATCCATTTATATCAAATAGATATAATAATGAGATACACTGAACAGTTTCATCGGAGTGACACCAAAAAAATAAATCATATAGTCATTGATATTACGATTTGGTGCAGATTATTCCGACAACAGTAAGAACATGAAGCCCAAATTTGCCAGAGATTTTTTTGGATGGTCTTCCTCCAAAAAAGAAATTATCGATTTGGTTTTCTATAGGTAGCAAATCCAGTTCTTTATAGATATGGAACATGGTGTTTCAAATTTCAAAAACTGACAAAGAAATAGGAAGAAACCATCGATTTTTTTGTCTTTATTTGTCAGAATTGTGTTTAATGTGATAAGGAATATGGATGATTTCCAAAAAAAACTAAATTTGCAAGTTTTGCTTTTAATTGATGCTTTTTCGTCTTTTTCCAATTACATGTACTTTTGACCAAAAAAGTTTTTTATACTATATTTCCTTCAAATAAGTATATATTTTTGTATCGATTTATATTTTCCCCAAATATTATATAATCTAAACTATAAAAATTAAATCCAATAAAAATATCCAAAACCAACAAAAAAAAAAAAAACCTTTAGTTAAATGATGTGGGTCCAACAGTTCAATCCAATGACACACAATTAAATTTAACAGAAAACTAAAAATGTTGAAAAGGTGCAAAAAGTAGGCGTCATTAGTCATCTCTTCTCCTCCCTTAAACATGTTTTCCATCTAGTTATTCTTTTGTCCTCGTCTAAAATTAAAATACCAATCAAATTATTCATTTTCTTATCCTCTTCCTTTCAATCTCATTTTTATCTATTACGAGTGTAATAATATTTCCAAATCACTAGAAGCACAAGACATAAATCTACTAATTCTCTCAATTTTTTTTATCTAGTAGGCAATTTTTGAGGAGATTTCATGTGTCATATCTCAATTTTATGAACCACGACACTAATTTCCGAGCTTGTATTATTTTCTAATTGTAGAAGCGTTTGGTTGACTAGTAAATATGACAATTAGAGAACAAATATTTGTATAGGAAAATACTTGAAGAAAGAAAAAATTTTAAAAACTATTTCAGTACTACAAAAACTTCTTAATATAACAAACACAATGTAACAAAAATTTTAGGTTAAAATTATCATTAATGCTATTGAGACATAATTTGGAGACTTAATACAATGTGACCATTAAAAATTGATAATTAATTGCATTTAATGCTGAGACCTACTGACAATTTAATGACCATAGTCATTAAGTTCTCAAATTATCTCCCAATAGGTTGCTCTAAAGTTAGATAAATAAATAAGAAAAGGTTTCATAAATTAAAAAATTAGCTAGATTAGCATGTGACCAATCTATACTACTAATAAAAGTGGCTTAAGTGAAAAATTTTTGATTGACTAAAATAACATCAAAAAAGTATAGAATTCCTATCCCATCTTTTGTGGATAATAATAACATTAAATTATATGTAATTATCACGGTTAAAACTATTGGGCTGATGACTATTGGCTTGTTATTACATATTTGGTTGAATTTCAACAGGCCAACATAGAAACAAGCATATCTGATTTTGAGAATGGAAAGCATCTCTGTAGCTAGCAATCGATGTAGAAATCACACACACCGAAGCCAAATGCCAATACAACTCTTGGCCATGCAAAATCATGTTGTGAGAATGACAATCCACGACAATCAAAACTTTGAGTCTAATTGTGATTGCCTGTTGGGGCGTGTCACAATGTCAGATGGGCCTCATTGTCATCGTCCTTGTTTTTTATAGAAATGACTGACAATCACAACTGTTATAAATGCCTTCTACCACCGTATACTTCCTCCCAAACTCAGTGGCCAACGTAACTCCACCAGGTGACTGTTGCCTTTCTCTTCTCTATTGATTTGTAATTACCTTAAGTTAGACTACCTTGAAGAACTTTCTGGAATATATAAATTGAGACATTTGTTATATATTGACAATAAATTGATACTATTATGAATAGGTTACAACATGTTCTTTGTTAAATTGACACTATCTTGAGTTTGTATTTATGCATTTCAGAAATTGGTAATATCGATGTTGTCAGGCAATGAATAAAGCATTCGATAAAAGATGGTTGGTTTAAGAACTTAGGGGGGAAAGGAAATTTATGTACCTTAGATTAATCCTCATGTAGAACCACCTTGCAATCTTTGTACTTTTTTAATAGGCTTGCTTTGTGCTTTTTTAACAATGCTCTGTGTTTTTTTTCTTCCAAGCATATACACAAAATGGGTCGACACCGGTTTGCATGTACTATTGTATGTGTCTATATTGTATTATCTGTCTACAATTCTTTGCTTGGATGTTCCGACCCTAGGGGATATAATAGAAAATTTATTCAAAACGTCACTTTTATGGGGTAATGGAAGCTTGTGATATCCCATCACAATGAGGAAGTACATAGTATCAACAAAAGGAACCTAGATTCAATATCTAAGAGTGGATAAAGCAGATAGATCAAGAAGGTGAGTCAGTTGGAGATGAGATCTGTTGACTACACAATATAAAATGTAAGTATGTCTTTTGTGTTGTTTTTATTGGTTTGATTTATTGTCCTTTTTTGGTTTGGTGTTTTGTTGAGTTGATTTTGATTTTATTATTAGTATTTTCTTTTGAATAGGATCTTGGATGATCAATTTTTTCAGGACCATCAACTTTAAGACGAGAGTGAGCTAGATTTTGTGGTTTAAGTGCTCTCTCTATCTCTCTCATAATCTTTCTATTGTGTTCTTTAGTTTATCTTTTTCCTATGCCCAGAGACCAACAATTTGTAGATTACAAGAAGGTTGATGGCTAAATTTACCAGTTGAAAGGTAGCAACTCCAGATATGTAAGTAAATTTTCTATTGTACAACCCACACACAAACATTCACATGGGATCATCCTACCGTAAGAGCTCAGTGAAAGATCTTTTTATTTTCTACCCCACTGGAAATTTTTTGCGAGTCATTCAAATTTTTTCCTTTTATTTTCTCTGATAGTGAAATCATGATTTTTGCTAATTGGCTTCTAGGATTAGTGTGATCTTTGCAGTGGTTGTAGCTATACCCTTCTTGAGCCAATGAATCCTAAAATCTTGTAGGAATACTTGAACACATTATGTCCATCCCATTAACTTGGCAATACAAATCTGCATATTTTTTTGTCTTAAGAGACCGCATTTATTCGTTATTCCCGAGAATATTTTTTAGAGCATCTGTGCCACCATCTTTTTATTTCTTGTTTTTTGTTTCGCTTTAATTTGGTTCGTAGCCGCTTCCAGTGTCTTTCGTCATCCAAGCTTCTTCTCTACTTATGTATGTGCACAAGTTCGTTGAATACTGTATAAATTTTTCAAGATATTTAGTGTTGTTTTAGACTTTAGGGAGCTCCATAAATTGTATATTATGAACTAAATTGTTGTATTTACTTGCATTAGGAGTTTGGAAATTTTTAAGCAGACACATGTTGGTTGGTGCCTGTTGTTTTGATTTTTTTTTTTCACTCTAGAACAATTCGAAGCGTCATGAAATCATAAGGAAACAAAAGGCAAAAACAACTCTATGTTCCCATCACATTATGTAAGTGCCTTTTAACAACTCTTCTTTAAAAAAAGGAGGGGAGAAGGGTGGGGTAAATGATATTTTTTTTAAGTAATCATAACAAATTGTTAGGTGGTTAGTGTTGATAAAGTCATTTTGCTTCTAGAAGTAACTACTTCCTAAATTAAGTGGTTTGGTACATGTATATAGTTCAAGAGTCTTCATGTATGGAGTTTAAGGGACATTCATGTATGGAGTTTAAGGGACATTCATGAATCTATTTATTATCTAGGGTTGCGTACTTGGTCTAGGTACATGATAGGAGAGTCCTATAAATACTAGAAGTGTTTTGAGTCATGTTGTATCCCATTTTAGAGCAGAAACAAAGATAGAGAACAAGAAAGAGTGTTAGAGAGAGATAGTGAGGGTTCTCCTAAATACTCATAGTCTTTTCTTTGTTAGAGAGAAGTTATTGTAAATTCTTTTGTTATCCTTTTACAAATTGCCATCATTTGTCTCAAATTAATTTCTCATTTTTATAGTTTCTACTTCAGTTGTAATTATGTGTTCGTACTCACAACTTCCTAACAGTGGTATCAGAGCGA